GGTGGGGGGTGGAGGGAGGAGAGAAAGGAAGGAAGGGCGGGCTAGGGATGTAGAGAAGTCCAAAGGCCCCGTATTCAATTACCCGTAGCAAACAGGAAGGGGCATTTGTATAGGAGAGAATCCAGAGACCTGGGTTCAAACTTTTGTGCAACTAAAACTGATCATTCCACCCCTCCTGGCCTCAGCTTTCTCAAGTGGAAAATGGGCATGGTTATCCCACTTGCCTCCCAGGGGCAAAGTTAAAATAAATGTGAAATATGAGCAATGAGAGGTAGCAGAATTTTTTTTTTTAAATTAGCTAGAGCTTTACAGTCTCCCTGGTCGCAGTACTTATGGTCGCTCACCTGGAAGCCCCAACTGACCCTAGGACCAAGCACCATTGGAAGCAAGTTATACTTTAGGTCAGGGGTGTTTTCTACCAAGGCCAAGTCTGTGGAGATGTTACAGAAAGCTGCAGCTGCTACACATACCCACACACACACACACACATACACCAGACATTCATGTTACCAGGTTGGCTCATGCAGTCCGCTGTCCTAAACACACAGGTTTCAGATGGCTTTACAGTAAGATGCCTTGATGTCCCACATGAGCCCAGCCCTTACCAGAAGAGCTGAAATTCAAGGGTCACCTGCACCTACACAGACGTAGTCCATGCTCAGTCCTTTCTCATCTTTTTTCTTACAAACGCAGGGAGGGAAGAAGGTTCCAGGTTGAACCAGAGATTTTCCACAAGTCCTGGCCCCAAGGTTTTTCCCTCTGTAGAGATAACACCAGAGATCTTGGGAGTTCATCTGGCCCACTGCCCTGATTATCAGGAATGGAAATGAGACTTCAGGAAAACAAAGGACTTACATGGGCTATGGCAAGGTGGATCTGTTAAAAAGCAGTGGATTAAGATTATGCAGTCAAATCCTGACTCTAAGCTATGTGTAGTTCCCTAAACCTTCCCGAGCCTCAGTTTCCTCACCTGTAAAATAATAATAACAATAGATAAAACTATTCTCTTCCTCAAGAAACAATTTTAAGCCCAGTGCTTAAACTCAGTGAATATATGTGATGATAACATCAGATCCCAGCTGTGTACGTAGCAGCTGTGGAATCTTTGTGTCTCATTTGCCTTAAAATCATAAAGACAAAACGGAGATCCACCTCATGAGATTGCCGTGGCTTAATGTACATAAAAACTCATAGGTGATGGGTGAGTAGTAAGTTCTAGAGAATGTTTGCTGCCAGTGACAGCCGCCGCCAGTAGTGACAATGGAGGTCACAGTGGTAACAACGCAGATGGTTGAGACCAGTTTCTTCCTGTTCCCAATGGCAGCTGCAGCCCAAATGGCTATGCTCACCCCCTCGAGGTTGCCTGGCTCCCAGAAGAATCAGATACTCCCTGAATCTGTTCCTCTGAGCAGCCTCCATCCTCTGGCCTCTCTCCTCTTCTCTATTGCAAAGGCAGACATAAAGGAAGGAGGCTCTGACTTGGACCAAAAGTATTCCACAAGTCTGGCCCAAAGGTTCTTCGCTAGCTAGAGATAACAGCAGAGTCTGTTTCATTGACTCACCTGTCAGACATTCCTTCAAGTCTGTCAGCATCTGTGAAGGGTCAGGGTCTGCCTTGGCTTTTGGGATCCTGTGAGTGAAAAAGAAACAGCCTGTGCCTTCCGATGCGGAGAGACAGGCAGTGCACAACAATCGGGGCTTGGATGCAGTAGAAGGTTAGCAGGCAGAGGACATGATTAGAACTCAGGCAGAGGAGATAACAATAGCCTTAAAAAGTGAGGAGGAGCAGGGTTTAGCCAATGAAAAGGAGAAATGAAGATTGGAGTTGAGGTTTGAGGTACAATTTGCAGGTCTGTGGAGGTGAACAGGAGCCTGAGCGTGAAGGGTCTTCTATCTTGAGACTTCCGGCATTTAACATGCACAGCTGTTTAAATCAAGGATGGCACATTATGGCAGTGGAGCTTCTTTGCATCTAGGACTCTGCAAACGCAGGGCTTGAATCTCACTGAAATTCTAGCTGGTGAGCGAAAGGTAACGTGAGGCTCTGTCGTTTGGACAGAGCCTGGAATCAAATTGAACATCCTAAGGAGATGGGGTAGAGCCCCTTAACAACCTCGCTCATCGGCCTTACTTTCCCTCAGCCATCTCTGTTCAAGGCCCGGGTGGCGGGGAGGGTGAAACACAGTCTTCCTTAACCCCTGGAGCTCAGTCTAGTAACCAACAGAATGCTGCAATATGGAGCTATTAGAGTGTTGTCTTTAAGGTTGAGGTCTAATCTGTGTGCGCCCATACCAACTATGCCCATTAAAACACTCAAATGCTTGCACGCCAGCTGGCAAACAGTCCCTGTCACCGTGCACTCCAACCCCAGTCAACCCGTCCATCCCTTTCTTCCCCTGACGCTCTGTGGACCTCCTCATAATCCAGCCACTAAAATACAACTCTTCGTCCCCTTCAACACCAACACCAACACCTGTTCGAATGGTGCCATGGGCGTCTACACCCAAGCAAGGGTCGATCATCTTTAACGTCACCTCTGGCAGCAATGGACGGGGAGCACAGGGTACAGGGGCGAGGTCTAACAATGGTGTCTTGATGTCCGAAGTGATTTTATAAACAGAACATCTCACCCTGGCTTTGGCGGGCGGGTAGGAGTCTACAAGGGAAAAAGCCCGGACGTGCCAGGCACGGTCACCACTTTACACAGCTTTTGTGCTCATCGATGCACACAGCGGTCCTCTGAGAGAGATGCAACTGCTATCACCATTTTGCCCATGGGAAAGCAGAGGCTCCGAGAGGCAAAGCAACCTCGGAGGATAACCCACTTGGGAGGGAAGGAGGCTGGTACCTCGGAAACTTATTCTGGCAGCCAGCAAGCACGATGGATGGGAGGAGGGGGAGGCTGACGGCCAAGATATGGCCAAGCCCTTTCTCTGTCGTGTGTGATTCTCTCTCAAGTCCCCCACTGCCGGATGAGGGGTCTGACCAGAGTGCAGCTGGACCCAGGAGAAGGGCGGGACTTTCCTTTTTCCCTCATGCTTCTAGCTTGGGCCAGGAGTGGTCTCGTACCTCTTGTCACCTAACGCCATCAAAGAGGTCCATCAAAGAGGTTCTCCTGATGGCTGTGAGCTGGAGAAGGCAAAACGGCACATGAATGTTAAAGACAGGGGAGTAGATCTGGGTTTGCTGAAGTCCTTGCTCTTGTCTTCCTGTGAGGCCATGGATGACAGCAACAGCTAATACTTACTGAGCAACTATTATGCACCAGCTGCCCAACTGAATTCTTTATGTGAATCCTCGTTATTTTTTATCTTAGCCCCGCAGGAGAATTTCCACTGATACTTCCCCTTCTTTTCTAGACTATTGCCTAGAAGCACCAAGTAAAAAGAAAGCTAAAATTTGAACCCAGAAAGTCTGACCCCAGAATACATGTATTTTATTATGACTTCCCTTGTGTCATCTCATTTTTCCAAGCCTCAGTATTCTCATCTGTATCTTAGGCTAATCTTGGTATCTACATACACTGCTGTTAAGAGGATGGGGTGAGTGAGACATAGTATCCACTTATTTGTAAAATACGCATTAAGCACCTACTATGTGCTAGATACTATTCCACTCACTGGCAAACAGCAGTGTTTACCTACCTGCATCCTCTGTTCTGTGTGAAAAACTTCTCCTAGGTTTTGGGATATAGCACCTCGTATACAATAGATGCTAACGTTATTGTTTGTCGTTATAGCAGCTTTTAAAAACTTACTCCAAATAAGCCCAGAAGCGATCTCTGACCTTGAGTAGCTTAATCCTCTCCAAAATCAGTGCTGGACTTCGCAGTAGGCCTGGCAGAGAGGGAAAATGAGGCTGAAGTAAGGAGAGTTTGCAGTCCGGTCCTCAGAAGCCTCCCCTGGGCTCTAGGACACCTCTGGGAACCTCAGCATGCAAGCCATTCGTTGCTTTTGAGAGGACCCAACAGGCCAAAAAAGGATGGGGTGACACTGGGAAAATGGGGGACCACTTGTTTTTGTTACTTTTTTTTTTAAATGAGAAGTGACATTGTAGTGTCAACTTTTACTTGTGCTAAGGACAGAGGGAGTACCACGATTTTCCAGCTCCAAGGAACATTTCACCACGAGAAGGTGTAGGAAAGGGTTGGGGATGTAGCTCAGTGTTTCCGCCACCTGCCTCACAAACTCAAGGTCCTGAGTTCAAGCCCTGGTACAAAACAAAAACAAAAACAAAAAACAGAAAATGTAGGAAGGATGTAACCTTGGGCCAAAAGATGTCTAAATCAAATGCATTTTGCTGGATGAAAAATTTATTACATTGAACTTATCTTTGCCTTTTTAGTCTGGGCTGGGAGTTTTTTTGTTTGTTTTTCTAGAGAGGTCTATGTAGAGATTTTTCAAAAGCTAGTGAGCAGGGGCCCTGCAGAAAAGCTCCCCGAGAAAGGGGGACCCTGAAGCCACTATTCCTTCCAAGTTCCTGGTGAACCAAAGGAGCAAGGAGGCTAAACCACCTCCTCCTACCAAGGTCAGATGCCTTGCTCGCCCTGGTCATGACCTTAGTCTTAGAGGACTTTGTCATCTGCCCACAAGCTTAGCAGATCTCTGTCTTTCTCCATCTCCTCCCGCTCCTTGGTGAACCCCCAGCAGGTCAATGAATCCATTCTTTAGCTGTCTTCCTAATTAGTGTGCGAAGGAAGATGAACAACAGCAAGGAAAATAAACTTAACGTCTTTGTGAAACAAAAGGATTTTTTAAAAAAGGAATAACCAGAACCCTCTAGCTAAAAGCTCTGCCGTGCAGCTCTATACCCACACGAGAATCTCCCATCCCCCATATGGTGAAGAGGGAGTAAAAAATTTATAGCCGTCTCTCTCCAGGGGGCCATTTGAAACTCCGTAAATGGACTTGTTCAGTTTAATTGGAATTCTCTTCTTGATTGTATTTTTGTAACCTATTAGGCCAAGCTGCCTCTTGATCTCGGAATTCATCTGAAATTAAATTTTGAAGTGTAAGTGAGAGGTTGCCTTTTTTCTGTTCCTGATTAAATAATGATTTGAAACGAAAACAATAAATAACAGTGCCGGCTTCCCTGGAGGGCAGAGAGAGATTTCCAGTGAAACATGGGGGATCTAGGGTTTGCGGTGGGGGGATTTAATTACTTATTAGAAAAACCCCAGTGTTAACATGGAGTATATCAAGCAACAAGGAATGCTTATGGGTTAAAATATTGGAGCTTCATATTGAGGCATTAAAAGAAAAAAACGGAGATTCAAGTTGGTGAAGAGCAGATTTTCCTTTAAGAGTTCATACACATATATAATATATATATGTGTGTATATATATGTGTGTGTGTGTGTGTGTGTGTATCATATATACATCATACGTACTTATGAAATTGGCATCTCTGATCCAGAATGGAAGGGTTGTAATAACTCTTGAATCCTGATATATTTTGATGGCTCTGGTCTCCTGGTTCTTTCCTTCATTGACAAGTGTCCCATAGGGTTGAGATGGGGAAATGGGATCAGTCCACTCATAGTTCTGGAAAGGAGAGATGACACATACAAGATGTATCATGTTTATGTTGCTTAGAAAAAGATCAGGGTAGCAGCAGATGCTTAGAACAGGGGGCCTTAAATTCAGATGTCTCAGGGGTCAGATAGCTAATAGATACTCACTGATCCCACGCAGCCTAGGGCCAGGAAAGCACGTGCCTTGTCTAAAATGAACAGCTGTGACTGTTCTCAAGCCCATTAATGCCAGGAAATGTGGGCCCAGATCCTATTCTTTCAACCAAAAATTGGAAATTAGGTTATTATGTGGGATCTCTCCATTTCACATATTTTGGCGGTTAACTCAAACTTATTTACAAACATGGAAAGTGAGCAAAAGAAAACATATCTGAAACAAAGCACCAATTGGCCTGCCAGCTTTCCCGTGTTGATTTGGGCTACTGACGCGCACAAGTCTCATATATCTGTCTCCTCACCCTCCCTAATTCAGGACACACAGCTGGCTTCCGGTTTCTAGATGATACTTTCTGGCCATCAAAGCTCTCTGTGCCTGCACACAGGCAGTGCGGATACACTGCAGAACTGATGCATCCTTTAGCTCAGAAATGTTGGAGAACTGGTCTGTAACTCCCCAGCTCTCTCCTTCCTTCACTGGTGACAGCCCTAAAGCACACATTCTCTGCATTGGTTCCCAGTATGGCCCCTCTGGAATTCAGCTATCGCTGTCCCCTGTGTGGACTGATAATGTATCTTTGATTTGTTCTGTCATCTCATCTCCCCCACAGTCCTACAGAGGTTTCTTCTCTCAAATAAACTATCAGCACTCTGTTTCTTGTTTCAATTTCTTGGAATCCAGGTTAGACTAGAGTTATTTTACTTGGTGATAAATCCCACCTTACAGGGACTGAATTTCTGTGTCAGGCCCCAAAGGTAGGCTTCTGGGAAGGCAGGACAGGAAGGAAAAGCGTTGAGATGGAGGAAAGGGTGAGGTTGGACTGAAGAACAGAGCCCTGGTATGAGTGTTCCAGGTCTTAAATGGAGAGCGAGGGTACCACAAAGACATTCACCCCGGAGGATGATGAATCTGGGATGGCACCTTCAGGCGAGGGTCTTGGGAACCATTTTCCAGCCAGTTGTACAAAGACAGAGATCAGTAACATGCGTACGAAGTCCCAACAGTTGCAGAAGGGCTCTTCAAAGATGGATTTCGGGAGGCCTGTTTTCCAAAGGATGTGACAGAGAGAAGCAAAGGGAAGTGCCCTATCGTGGCAGTGTCCAGGGGTGACTGCATCTTAGCGACCTAATGTCTGAAGGAGATGCCCACAGACAGGAAGACATGCAGGAGTCTCCCATCATCCATCCATCAGGGCATTCACGACTCAAAAGCCTCCTCTGCATTTTCGTGGCATCGCCCCACCCCACCCACGGTGCACCTTCATTCTGCCTTTGGTTCCCCTCGACTGTGTCTTTCCTTCCTCTTCATGTGGGTGGATGGAGAGTTCTGAAGAAGGTAGAGTCAGGGTTTAGAAGGCCATCAAACCATCCAGACATTTCTAATGATGAGCTTATTAAAATGATCCTACCATGTGGAATTACAAACAGAGCCATCAAGACTTGTAAAAATAAAGCCAGGTAGGGTTCAGCTAAAGAATAAGGAAGGCATGGCTTCAGATGGCTGCTTGCTCCCTGCCAAATTATCCTCTAAGCCAGCCAAATAGAGTGTGATTTGCATGCTTAGTACCTACGTAGGATATTACACTTGTGCCCTGTACAAGTCAGGTGAGAGAGCCTGTGGAAGGTTAAACCACCCACCCTCTATTCACCAAGCCCTGGATGTGATGTGGAGCTGCTTCAGCCCCGAGAAAGGTGCCTCTCTTGTCTTATTTATCTGGCCAAGGAAGGTGATTTTCTTAATCCTTCACCCAGGATAGAACTCCTTTTCATAATCTGATCAAAGCCACTGTGTAGGCTGGCAGCCCTGTTGCATGTAAATGACCAGACCCAGTCGTCTTTTAACCTCACCACCCAGCGTAGCAGAGCATGGGAAAGAAAGGAAGGAGATCTACACCCCAGCATTGCCAGTCCCACCTGGAAGGTTTTTCAGGTCTGAGACTTCTCACCTAAAGCCTAGAGCTTACGCTATTGAGGATCTGCAGTCAGAGCCTCTGCCTGCTTTCTCGAAGGTATGCTGGTTCTAACAAACATCCGGAAGAAGGAAAGAAGGAGCAAAGCGGATTCCTTATCTCTGTCATGGGGCCTCCAGCTAATTCTTAAATATCAACATCCTCTGTAGCTTTCTGAGCTGGTTTCAAGACCCCAAGTTTCATAGAACTATTTTTATTACAATGGGGTCCAGTTCTTTCTTTAAAAAAACCATCAAATCCCTTGGCAGTAACTCAGCTGGCAGTCACCCAGCAGGACTCTACCAAGATCACAGATCTCTACCAATGACTGAAATTAAGATGGGCCCACCGGGACTGCTGAGGGACCATGGAAGAGCTCCATTCATTAGAGGCAGACAGCAGCACCACTGAGCTAAATCCCCAGCCCCAGGAGCTCCATTCATTAGACAGTATTGACTGAGCACCTACTCTGTGCCAGGCAGGTAGGGGTCTGGGATATAGCGTTGCACCAGTCGTGGCCACTGCCCTCAACAGGCTCCCCATCCAGATGGAGCAACTAAAGCAACGACCGCACCGAGTAGCATTTTGTGCTGGTATCACAAAAATGGCACTCATTCTTGAGTGAGCGAATGGGTAGAAGAATGAACGAATGTGCAGTGTACTCTGCTCTCCTGGCCCGGGAGCTCAGACAAGGCTTTCTAGAGGAGCTGAGATAAAACCCAGAGGATGAATATATTTAGTAGTTTTGTCAGTGGGGGAGAAAGGAAAAGTGTTCTGTTCAAGGGAAATAGCATGTACAAATAACCTGGGTTTGAGAGAGTAAGATACAGTGGCAGAACCAAGAAAACTCACATTGGTCTGCTTAGATCATGGCAGCTAACATGAAGTGTGTGGAAGAGACAAGATTTCTGAAGTCTGCAGGGCTGGTTTATAAAGTAATCAGTGCTGGGTTGCAAAGGATATTGTAATCCATGTCAAACAGTTTAGAGTCAAACAAACAAATGGCACTTTTAAATGAGGGGAGGCTGGTATTTTCTCACAACATGGCCAACCGAATGAGAATGTTTCAGTAATATCTTTATCTCTGTTTTCTGGTAATGAAGGAAAAGTATGACGCCTGTGGAGTTCTCAGTTCTAACATACAAATCATAGCCAGGTGGAGCGTCTGAAAATATTCCTGTGAGTTCAGGGTGTGGGGCTTAGAATGTGAACAAGGCAAGGTTCCTTTCAGCCACCAACCTGGAAGGACATCAAACTTGAAATCCTTACTCATGAGGTCCCTAACCCATCAGGAAAAATGCTTTGAAAATAGATGTCAAAACTGAGGACAAGTAAACTAGGAGAGAAAAAAGCCAGCCTGGATACCCCCAGGTAACAAGCTACAAGACACCGGAAACCACTGCACTCACAGACCTCCAGTGCTGAATTAGCTTCCAGCCTAGTTCCCTGGAAGATGGGCTTGCCAGATTCACTTATAATGTACTGCCCCCCACCACATTCACCATGTCTGGGACAGAGATTCCTTGAGCCCATCCCCATATCAAGCCCCAGCCTGAAAGTGCAGGCCCTGGGGTCTAGCTTCCTAGCACAACACTCCCTCATCCCTGGCAGTCAGTGGTGGGGAAGACACACATGTTATCATTGACCACGGCTGGCAGACATGTCATCCCGGCTGTGAAACAGAAGGCAAATAGGATCTGAGTAGGAACAGGATCTATATATGTTACTTTAAAACAAATCTCACTCCAGAAAACTCCACCTGAGATAACTTAATGTTGACGTCTTATATCTAAGGCAAAGCTAACCTGATCACCAAGAAAGTAAAACAGCAGCTACACTGGACTGAATTTGGTAAACCTGGACCATCACCTTGCCTGCTCACAAAGCCTTCTGGGAGAATCCATAAAAGAAACCCCACCCCCTGTCCCTGCCCCAGGAGCTGACATCCTAAACTGTGGGAGTTATCTCTGTTATTCCGACAGTTCCGGTGTCCCTTTATCGCACCCTTGTGACTAATTGCTGGGAAGCAGAAATGGTATAGAGAAGCCTAGCCACCCCCTTCTTTGGGCCCACAGAGAATGGGATGGGGGCATGGGGGTAGGCTCTTGGAGGAGAAGCTTTAATGCGTGTGGGGCCCAGAGCCAAACTATAGAAGATTTACTATTCTACAGTCTAAATGTTCATAAACCAAGGTAGTAAACGCTGATGGAATATGTCCTCCTATCTTGCCAAACATCTTCAGGATGACCTGAAAATCAGCTTTGAATTCAGAATCTTGGGTCCTTCACAGGCCAGGACATCAAGTGGCAGTGTGAGGAAAACCTACCCCCAAACCTGGGCTCCTCCTTTCTGCCTCCCATTGCCAATACTGTGCCTGGCCCCACGCACGTGTACCTAGGCACCTCAGCATGATTATCGGAGCCACCCTTGAAACACGGTCCACCCATGAGAAAATAATCCATAGATGAGACACATAAAGACCCCAGAGGGGGGCTCAGGGACCATCGAATGGAGAATTCCGGGGTCTCAATTACCCAAAGTATGATCGGTGGGTGGAGTGTTCACCACAGGGTGCCTCTTGGCCCCACAGATTCCTTGTCCCAAGAGTGATGGTTATCACTGGGGAATGGTTCAAGGCAGGGCTCCCTCTTGCCCGCAGCTGAGATTGGTGCTGTTGTCAGAAACCAGAACCAGATTCACGGTGTCATCCCAGCCATGATACTGATCTGGACATTAAAGGAAACCGTCCGTTGTGCTTCCAGAACTGCAGTTGCCTTCCCAAGGATGGCTTCCGTCACCTCCTGTACTCCGTCATCTGTCCTAGATCAGTGCAAAACAGGGTCCTAGGGGCCACTCTTCATCCCCAGTTGTGCCAAAATCAAATCCCCAAGTCCCTTCCAAAGCAGTCAGTTGCAAAGCACGACTGAACCCTTGAGGTCCATGGCCAAGTCCACGCAATGCTTTAGCCCCATTTGCATACACAGCAAGGGTTTCCTGATCCACCTGGGGCATGAAGGGATTGACTAGGTTGAATTACATCCCCCGAATGAGAAATCCGAACAGAACAGATGCCCCTCCTATCACAAAAAAAAGAAACTATCACTAAAAAAGAAACCCCAAACTCAAAGTTCAGGGCCCAGTGTGAGGATGTGCAGAAAGGTGTGTGTTTTTTCTTGTCATTTGCGACTCTGATGATGGACTCACGTTGCCCGCTCTTCCCTTTCTCTTACACCTTACCTACTAAAGGAGGAGTTCTTGCTTGGTAAGTGGATATAATCCGCAAAGACATGAGAGAATTTATTAGAAGCCACTCAAGATCCTTAGCTATCTTCTACAAGGGGAAAAGGACACACACAAATACCTGTAAAGACCTTTTTTTGTTTGTTTTTTTTCAGTCAAACTATTTGACTTACATTTATTTTGCCCCTCTTTCTTTTCCCCTTCAGTTGAAAACTGCTTAAATGTCAATTTGTGACCATGACTTTATATTTTTTAAACACACATACACACACACACACACACACACACACACACACACACACACAAAACTTTCATCTTTATTTCATTTCTTTTCCCCATGTGACATTTATCAGGGCTCTATTCAGGCAACTTTTTCTTTTTCTTTTTTTAAAGTTACATTAATTGAGGTTTTGGTTGAAGTTTAAAATTTTGGCTTTGTCTCCTTTTTTTTTTTTTCTTTTTAATTTCCAAGATAAATTTTTTTCAGGCCAACAGCCCCATTTATTTTTCCTCTTCCCCTTCCTTTATTTTTAATTATTGTTTTAGATTAGGGGTGTCTATACCCCTTTCTATTGAGTTGTCTATTTTGTTTGAGTTCATTCATTAGAAATTAAATTTTGTATAATTTCCTTTTGCTTTTGTTTAATCTGGATCGCATGCTTTTTCTCTGCATGATACCTAAATCTTCCAGTTATCCTAGCAGGGGGTAAAAAAATATCTCCTTTCTGTGGTATTCTTTCAGGAATTTGTGCTTTTGTTTTTTGGCGTCTCTTCTTTCTTCTCCTCTCTTTCCTTTCGTTACAGTGCATCATGACGGTAAACATTCTCAGTTATTTAGACACAGCGCCCCAGAGCTCAGCAGTGTCCGACAGGTCTTTTTGCTTTCAGATCACTGGGTCGGGGTCTGCCGCTGACCTCTTTACCAAAACAGCCAGTCCGCTCACCAACTCCCGAGGACGCTCCCAGGAGTATGACTCAGGCAATGACACCTCCTCGCCACCCTCCACGCAAACCAGCTCAGCCAGGTCTCAGGGCCAGGAGAAGGGGAGCCCCACTGCGGGTCTCAGCAAAAGCCAGGAGCTCAACAGCGGCAACACCTCGGATTCAGGGAACTCCTTCACCACCTCCTCACCCCAGAACAAAGGGGCCATTCTGGAGAACCTCTCTCCCCCCAGCAGGGGCAGAGAGTCAAGGTCAGTGCCCTTGGGGGGAGAGGGTCTCAGCTTTATCTACTCAGTCTTTCATCCCTGTCTCGTGAGTCTTATTTTCAAGGAGGAGAAAACCAACTCAAACTGACTCTTTCTTTTTTTAATTCCAGGGGCACTAGCTTCAGGGACAGCAGGATCAAGGGGGGCTCAAAATATGTCACAGGCAATCTGTCCTGTTACATCTCTCAGTTCTACCTCTCCACTCTGTTGGCCTCGTTCTTAAGTAGAGACTCCCAGAGTACTGGCAGATATGCTAAGCAGCTAACATTCCATCAGTTTAACTCTCCATAAGAGTACTTTTTTTCCTGAGAATTATTGCAAGACCTCAGGGCAAGTGGTTCTTGGCTGCACTTGGCCCAGCTTAGTTCATTTGCCCAGCTCTGGACCAAGTACTCTAGCTTAGGGAGTGCTGTACTCTTGGCTAGAATGTGTTACATTCCACAACTGGGATTAATGAGTGCACCCTTCCCACATTCATCTGCAGGAAGAGCTAAGGTGTTGATATCGGGAGGACAGAAGCTAGGCAGACAAAACTGAATGCCACTTGTATCTGTAATCTCAGAGAAAAATCTCGCATTTGCCTAATTTTAAGTCATGGTCATTTAAAAACATACCATAATATTTACTTAAATGAATTAAAAAGATACCACACAAAAACCTTCACATGGGTCTTTGCAGAAGCTTTACTCATAAGTACCAAAACTTGGAAGCAACCAAGATGTGCTTCAGAAGGTAAATGGATAAACTGGTATAGCCAGACAATGGAATATCATCCATAGACGAAAGAACAGTTTCATCCAGCCACAGAAAGACATGAAGGAAACTTAAATGCCTATTGGTAAGTGAAAGAAGCCAATCTGAATAGGCTTAAACATAGCATATGACTCAACTATATGACCTTCAGGGAAAGGCAACGCTATGAAGAAAGTGAAAAGACTAGTAGTTGCCAGGCGAGGAGGGAGGGAGACAGGGAGAGATGAACAGGGAAAGCACAGCGGATTTTTAAGACGCTGAAATTATTCTATATGATCGACAGGGACGGATAAATACCATGACACAGTTCTCTAAACCCACAGAATGTACACCACCAAGAATGAGGCCTAATGTAAACTATACGGTTTGGGGGATAACGATGTGTCGAGGTGGGTTCATTAGTCATAACAAACACGCCAGTGGGGGGCCGGATAGGGGTGCAGCTGTACGTGAGTGGAGGCAGGGATCACGTGGTATTCCCTATACTTTCCATTCAATTATGCTGGGACACTGAAGGTCCTCGAAAGTAAAGTTTACTAATTACTAGAAGGACGGATGGATGATAGATGGGCAGATAGATAGATAGGTAAATCATAGTACGAATTTAGATAAAGGCTTTTTTTGTTCATCTCAACTGTTAGTAGATACAGCCTTTCTATAGAAAACACTTCCAAACGTTTGCCTATGAGCTGATCTACAGTTTCTCTGCTTCATCGCCTTTTTGCTCGCTCTCTCTCTCTCTCACTCAAGAAATCACAAGAAAATGCTAATCACTGAGGGTACTGTCAAAATAGTGGCTATTAAAATGCACAGACCTAGAATATACTAACCTCCACACCGTCACTCGGTCATTTATCCCTCAGCCCGATACCAGGCACCTCCTCTATGTCAGGCGCTCAGCTTGGTGCAGGGATCCAAATTGACAAGGTCCATTTCCTCCGGAGTTTTTCTCTTCGCAGGGTAGGTACACAGATGCAGAGTGCGGGGAGGTTGGCCACTGTTCTCCACCAGGCAGAGTAGGCTCTTCCTCTCTCGGGGGTGGAAGCCTGTCTCGGTTTAAAGTGGCCAAGATTTCTAAAAGCTGGCCAGAGCCTCAGCTCTGAAGCAGTTTGAAGCTTCTTCAAGGACAGAGCACCCTTCGTCCCCAGCACATGGCCTGCTTCAGTCCTGGATAAACCACTTGGCATCCAGGCGTAGACGTGGCCTCCGGTTGGCCTGTCCTGGGACATCCCTGGCCTCAGCTCATACCCAAGCTTGGTTGGGAACCAGAGCTGGATCGGAGCAAAATGTCAGTGTCTCCACTGGAAGAAGTTCCCAGAGGGGAGATGGAGAACACGGGTCTGCTGAGACACTGCAGGTTATTATGCAGGGAAAACGGAGGTTAGCGCTAATAACAATAAAAATAATGGCAGTTAACATTCATTGAGCCCTAACTGCATGCTAGGTCCTACGCAAAATACTTTCCATGAATAATCTTTTTAACTCATCATAAAACCTTCAGAAGATAAGGTACTGTTGTAAGCTTTCGTTAAACATGGGGGAAACTGAGGCTTGCAGTGGTTGAGAAAGTCAGCCACTAAATGGCAGCCTCAGCATTCCAATGTAAATCTGTCCCCAAAACTGACTCTCGCCTGCTTGGTTTAATATGTGCAGACAGCCAAATGAAACACTTTAGACCTAGCTGCTCATTTTGAGTTATAAATGGTGGTTCAACCCACCGCTATTTACATCATGCCAGCTGTGGGCAGAGGTCTCAGTAAATAGGACCTGAGTAGAAGACGCATCAGCTTTCCATCGAGGGAACCACAGACACTGAAGGGAAGGAGCTGAAGAGGCAGCAGGGACAGGGGCATCGGAGATGAGCAGGTCAATGTTTGGGCGCTGGGCGACCCTTCCGAGTCTTCTCTGTAAGTTGGAGATGATCACAAGGTTGCTGGGAAGCGATGCTTGAGAAGTTGTGTCCTCTGGGTGATTCTGGGAGTCTCCATCCACCTTTTTGGGTGATGTCGACTCCTCCATCTGAGAAATGGGCTACACTCAAGTTTCCCAGACTTAGACCCATCGCAGGTCACCTTCTTGATTTTTAACATGGCTGTGTACTAATTTATTTCTTTTAACAAACTCACTTTTTCTGTAAGCTAAGTGAAAGGAAAGCGTTATCTCAAACAGAAAATTACTATCCCTTGTGCTAATAGAAGGTATCTATAAATATATTTGCTATATAATAAGTATTAAAATATGTTTAAATTAATATTAGTGTCTAATTGATTTTAATAATTAATATTATGTATATGTTATAGTTTGCTAGTTAGCAACACAGGGACCTGCTCCTCTCTCTTTGAGGAATTACAGAGTTAGAGTGTTGTGGACCTACCCGGGTCCATAACTTACACCTAGCCAGGGCTTTCTCATTAATGTAATCAGAAAGGTAACAAATAGGTCAAGATGTGCCCAGAGTGGTGGCCAGTTGAGTAGTAACAGAGCTTCCTTCCCCTGCAGAGGATTTCAGTCACCATGTCTGGAGTGTGCTGAGGTGAAGAAATCCAGCTTGGTCCTATCCACAGCCCAAAGCTCCCCTGTGAAAGAGTGTTCCCGCAGCTCCTCCTATGCCAGCACCCGATCCTCCAGCCGTTCCTCCAGATCTCCAAACCCCAGAGCCTCTCCCAGGTACACTCGGAGTCGATCCACCTCCTCTGAAAAAAGGTGAGTGCAGTTGGACCTTTGCCCTGCTGAATTCTCCCCTTGGCCTGAGTTAAGTCACCTCAATATGTCTCTTGATGCATAAAGGAGAACAGTCAGGCTGACTTGAGTCTGAATGCCTATTTTACCCAATGGATATCTGGTGGCCTTACAAAAGTCAGTGAATCTCTCAGTTTTCTCACCCACAATATGAAACAATGGATCATTCTGAGGACTACAAAAACACCTAGAGCTGTCCTATGAATATAATGAACTTTGTTCATCAGCTACCGGCCTGAGAGAATATAATGAACTTTGTTCATCAGCTACCGGCCTGAGCATAAACTAGTTTCTGCTGCAGAAAAAGTTAGTTAACCCTAAACTTAGCATCCTTAGAACAAAGTATTTACTTAGTCCCCAATTCTGTGGATAAGCAATTTGGGCTTGCTCCGCAGGCCAGTTCTTCTGCTCTTGCTGGGCTCTGTCCTAGGTCTTTGATCTGCTGGTGGGTTAGCTAGGTTCTGGCTGGATTGGATGACCCCAGATTAGTCATCTCTGCCCAGTGTTGCCATCATCCTACAGGCCTATCTGTTTGTTTACATGATGATGAGAGAGTCTGTAAAGCATTCTTTAGTCACAGGACCAGTCCAGATGTGACGTTGCTCCTCTTTGTGGGAACAGATGCAGATTCATACTACAAGAGTTAGGGTACAGGGAGAAGAGTGATTGCGGCTGGTTTTGCATCCTATACTCTCCCTAATTTCAATAACCATTGATAATTACTTGATGATTTCATGTAGATAACAATGTAATACAATATATAGGTGTGAGAACTCAGGAATTAGAGAATTAGAAGATTTCATCCAATCTAATCAACCCATAGCTTCCCTGAACTTCATGAAAACAAAAAATTCCCAATAACAGGCTGACTTTCTGCAACCATACAGTTAAAAAACAAAACAGATGCTTACTTAATTGGTTATTTCAAGACTGTCCATTCCAGAAAATGAAGCAATGTAGCTGACAACACTATTCAACGTCATAGCATTATAACATCAGTAGGATTGCAGATTAGGCTAAAAGGAAAGTTAAGGAGAGAAATTTAAAAATTACATTAGGAGAAAAGGTCCAAAAGTCATGTCCTTTACTACATAGTTGCTATGTAGCTCTGCTGCAAACATGACCTCTAGCTCCCTAGCAGACAACCTAAGGACAGAAATTTCTCCCTCGATACATTATTAACCGAGAGAATGAATTGAACCAATTGCCTGGGAAAGCAGTTATTCCTGATTTTAAGTTTATAAAAACAGTCGCATAGTTCCACAGAAAAGGAACACTATATGGTATAGTCAGTGGATGGAAATGCCTAACCATCTCTTTCCTAGATTCTACAAACATGTTGCATCCTAACTCTTTCTTATAATAACCCTCACAAGGAGCAAGTTAGCAAAAGCATCCCTTCCAGGAGTCACAGCTACACATTGGCCCAGGACTGAGATCAGATGAGCTATTCCTTCTCTACAGTGTTATCTAAATGAGGGAGGCACCAGCAGAGAGGAAAGAAAACTGAGAGAGGCAGAGGAGTTAGTGATTTAGAGTAGGTCCTCCCTTCACGCACACCTTGTCCTCAGACTGTGTTCCATTACTCCCAGTGGATGCCTACAAACACCAATACTACCAAGCCCTGTAATGAAATTTTTTTTTCATCTTAACTAAGCACTGATCACAATGTGATGGTAACTCTTGCATCTCAGATGTGCCCACAAAACTACCAGAAATTTATTTTTCTTCCTTCTTATAATTTCACAGAAAGAGGATTCATATTACCATAGATCTTAGCATACTGGGCATATTTTCTCCTTTCTTAGCAAGCCAAGAGCACTCGCTTTCTTACTTAAAGAAAGTACATTATGGTTCCTCATTGGCATATCTGAACTGCCCCATCATTAGTCTTACACTTGGGGGCCATAATTAAGTAAATAAGGGCTATGTGCACATAAGCACTGCAATGATGTGCTAGTAGACTTGATGATGAGAAGACCTAAGTAACTAACAGGCAGGCAGCCTATACAGCATGGGTACGCTGAACAAAGTGATGACTTACATCAACAAAGTTCATGCTACTCAGAACACAGCACAAAATTTAAAATGAATGCATTATTTGTGGAATTTTCCACTTAACATTTTTAGACTTTGGCTTAACTTGTGTAACTGAAATCACAGAAAGCAAAAACCATGGGTAATGGAGGACTACTGTACTTTGGAGCAAAACAGACCTGGGTTCATATCCTCTAACAGCTGTGTAAAGCTTAGCAAATACATTACCTCTTTGTGCCTCTCTTGGTCCATCTGTAAAGTGGAATCAGTAATAGTACTTAATCTTAGGATGTGTTAAGAGTTAAATGAGATATACATAAAGCATTAGCTCAGTGTCTGGCACATAGTAAAATACATAATAGTAATAGTCAACATTTTCTCCTGTGTTGGCTAATTATCCCTTAGCATATGTGCCAATATGCTAAGTGATTTACAACTTTTTGGGGTAAGTACTATTATTATTACTCCCATTTTACAGAAGAGAAAACAGAAGCCCAGAGAAATGAAATCACCTTCCCAAGGCCACACAGCTAATAAATAGCCAGGATAACAAGCACTCAGAAAGAAATTGTCCATATTCTTAAGCCCCCAAAGGGGAGGGGATTTCATTTTCCGGTAAGGGCCAGGTTTCTGCTCTGTCATCTGGAGACCAGATGAATAAAATCTTACCTCTTTCCCAGGTCCTACTCCCGCTCTCCCAGCTACTCCTCCAAGTCTGGCAAAAGAAGCCCCCCTAGCAGAAGCTCTCGGTCCCGCCGCAGCCCCAGCTACTCCCGCTATAGCTCGAGCAGGTACCGGCCCGCCCCGGCACTAACCCACACCCCTTTGCCCTTTGCCCAACACCCGTTCTGGTTAAGTCTCCCAGCCCCACCTCTCCTGACCTCTCTCTCCCCTAAGCCCCGCCTGCCCAGCTCTGCCAAGATGGGGAGCTGATTCAGCCTTCTTACAGTTCTTTGTCCAATCCAGAGTGGCAACAAGGCCCAAACATATCCTGTGTCCCAACACCCATCCCCAACACTTCCATGTCCGCTTTCTCCTGTCCGTCTCCTCACCCTTCGTCCTCGCATCCAGAGCCCTCAGTTCTCACTACACACACCAGGCGCCAGTGACATCCTCACCCCTACAGCATCTGCACCTCGATAAAGTCCATGCGCGAAGGCTGACACCCTTAAGCACTACCACCCCCCCACCCACACACAGTGCTAATTCACAGGGACTCAGCCCACGATTGGTCATCTATCTTCCCGTGCCCGCCTCCTTGAGGCTCCAGCAGACCCTGCCACAGTGGGGCGAGGGGTACAGAGGCCGGAGGAAGCGGGACAAGTTACACACAAAAGCCCTCCCAGCCCCAGCCTCCCAGTAGCACCCTCCGCCCCCTCCTCCAGGGAGCGGGAGCCCAAGTACAGCGAGGATTCCCAGCAAAGGGAGCGAGAGCGAGCGCGCCGAAGACGTCGGTCCTACTCCCCGATGAGGAAGCGCCGGAGAGACTCCCCGAGCCACCTGGAGGCCCGGAGGATAACAAGGTGAGGCCCACAGAGCAAAGGCTGCCCACTTTCACGCTCCTTCCCACCCGCTTCCTATCCCGGGCTCAGTCTCCACCTGCCTTCCTGAGGCTGAGACTGAGGAGTGTGGGAGCTCAGGGGGGCACCTCTCCCAAAACCTGAAGTGAGGCTTTGCTTCAAAGACTTGGAGCCTGAGTCATCTCTAGAGTCCAAACTTCCCTACCCTTAGGGAGCTGGGCGAACGGAGGAATAGGGTGCGGCCTGAGGTTGGTAACAGGCCTGGGAAGGGCAAGAGGTCTGACTAGTCTTTGAAGGCCGAGCCTCGCAGCAGGGCGTTGTCCTGGTAGCCAGATGCCAAGCTTAATAGACCTTCGTGTAATTATACCCTGAAGGGAGCCTTGCTGGGTAATAGGGAGAGCGCTGGATTTGGAGTCAGATTCTGGTTGTGCAGCTTTCTAGGTGACCTAAAAAGTCATCTCTTCACTTCCCTGAGGCTGTTTCCTCACCCATGAAATATCGGAGGAAATAATTCCCAGGAGTATCATGAGATAAAATGAAAGGAAGCAAAGATGTGACCGCACTTTGTAAACTTAAATGCAGAACACACTGGGTGTCACTGTTATTGACTGAATGGTTGGAGTAGGTGCAAAAAGTTACCTGTCAAAGGTGAGGCTTCAGAGGAGAACCGAGGAGGAGGAGAAACTAATTTCTCAGGCCTTGAAAGCTGGGAGAATGGTTGAATGCTGTTCTAAAATTGGACTGGCCTTTCAAGCATCACCCATCACTCAGTCAGAGACCCATGGAGAGCAGGAAGCCCGAATGTGCAGCATTTCCTCCCTGGAGAAGAGAGAGGGACAGGTGCCTGGCAGTAAGAACAGGGTGATGCGGTTCCTTTCTCGAATGTTCCACAGGCCTCCCTGTCTCATCTGTGGTCCCTTGATTAAAGATGTCCTTTGCAACCAACAGGGTAAAATGGATCTTTAAAAATTAGAGGGTTGTTTTTTTAAAGATAAACTTTCTCCAAGCTTCCTTGCACTGAGAGTGTGAACTGCCACCTCCTAGGCCTGACACTCAGGAGGAAGCAATACTTTTCTCCTCCTCCAGGCCAAAGCCTGGCTAAATCTCCACATGGGTATTTCCTGGCTTTTGTTCTGCCTGGTACTTTTGTGCATTCCAATTTGGTCAAATTGTAAAAAAAAAAAAAAAACCGCATTCCCTCCCGGCTCATTTTCGTGGGCTTTTCTTAGACTTTTGGTTGCGAATGGATGAAAAAACCCAGAAACCCAAAGAGCCACAGCTTGGATTCAGACCTGATCCAGCCCCAGCTGGCAACACTTGAGTTAACTCGGAGGAAGGCTGAGATTCCAAAAGGTCTTCCTTAGTCAACCCCACATAATGCACCCCCCTCAACCCATTCAGTGTTTCCCAAACTTGAGTCATCTGTCAGCCAGTGGCTTTACCACTCTTGACTTGCGTGTTTAGAATGTACTATTGATTTAATTTTTCTTTCAATGGTTATACATTATACCCCTTTCAGGAAACTTGATACACTACAGTAAACGGAAAATCAGCCTCTCTTACCTAGAAATAGAACCTGCTAGAAATAGAAAGTTCTAGTAAAAGTAAAAATAGCGAAACCAGAATTGTAATTAATGTTTAGATGTATGTTCTGTTGCCAGCTGGAGGCTCTAAGTCCTGGGCTTGCTTTTTAAAAAGAAAAGAAAAGAAGGTGAGATAATCACTTTTCAAGACATACCAGCACTAAGCTCAGCCTTTTCTCTTTGATGTTCTCAGACCTGCAAGAGAAATGAAAAGGAAGGCATGGGGTTTGTTGGTTTCCTCTAAGGGTCCAGGGAATGTAAGGGCACTGCTTCCCTGAAGAGCCCGGCCCTCACGCCTCTTCCTCTGGTCTCCCGCAGTGCCCGGAAACGCCCCATCCCTTACTACCGGCCCAGCCCCTCTTCGTCCAGCAGCCTCAGCAGCGCCTCCTCCTGGTACAGCAGTAGCAGCAGCCGCTCCGCCAGCCGCAGCTATTCCAAGACCCGCAGTCAAAGCCGCAGCAGAAGTCGGAGCCGGAGCCGGAGCAGGACCCGCAGTAGCAGCAGCTCCGGCTCCCGCAGCCCCAGCCTGGGCTCCCGGAGCCGGAGCCGGAGCCGGAGCCGGAGCCAGAGCCGGAGCCGGAGCCGGAGCTACAGCTCAGCAGACAGCTACTCTAGTACGAGGCGCTAAGCGAAGGCCATCCTTTGAGCTCCCCTGCTCATGGGGACCCTTCTGCCAGCCTCTCCTAAACCTGCCCTCTCTACCTTCTCGCTGGTGACAGATATTCAGGGCGCTTGGCCCCTGTCCTGCCTGCTTTCCTGGGGAGGAGGAAAAGGGGGCTTCACCCCCTTGTGTTGAGTTGCTAGGAGCCTCTACCAGCACCACCCTGGGGCTCAGCTGGGGCCTGAGCAAATAGAAAGAACTGTTTTTCGTTGTTTTTATTGTTTGGTTTTTTTTTTGTTTTGGTTTGGTTTTTTTGCAGAAAAAAAACTTCATGGTTTTATGAGAAGCAATGGGTCTGTGACTCAACAGCTTTGGACCTGGCTAGCAACGTGTAGAGACAACTCTGCTCGCTCACTGAGGGCAGGACATGTACACAAAGACAAAGGTGATTCATCGCACCTGGCTTCATTCTTACTCTTCCTGTCACCCTCTGTCATAGCTGCAGGTTTGTGGACCCCCACACAGGAATAGATGAGAGTGGAGTCCAAGGGCAGTTGAGGTCCAAGGTAAGGAGCCAGGCCCTGAACCTCCCCAGACAGGCCAGAGCTAAGGCTGGAGGGCCCTTGAGTCCTAGAAGAGAAGACACGCATGCCTAGGGGACAGCGACATGGGAGTCAGCGGCAGATGTCAGGGTTCTGGAGATGGGATCCCTGGCTACAAGTGCAGAAGCAAAAAGGCAGAGGTCACCTGTCATTTCCAGTAAGCTGGCACGGCCAGGGGAAGGAGCCCATCAGGTTCCACTGACCCAGAGCAGAGCCCCGCCCCCGTGACTTCCACAGATTACTTCCTGGTTGTGCACAGGGTCCCTGCCACCCCACAGAAAGGGAGATAGTGGAACAGTCAGGACAGCCCTGATGACGGCCCTACGGCACAAATTTGCTTCAGTCCCACTAGCTGGCACCAACTTAATTCCACGGGACCATCTGCTGAACATTCCCCGGTGCCGTGGCCAGCTGCCAGCCCCCAGCGCCAGCCAGTCTGGCCTTGCCCTCCAGTTGGCGCCTGTCCGCCCCCTCCCCACTTCCCAGACTGCCACACCCTGGATGCTACCCAGGGCGGCCTGGCACCTTCTCTCCCTCCCTTCAGCCTGAGCCACCGTCCTTGCCTCAGGATTTTTGCCAGGATGGGGCACAGACTCAAATTCAGAGAGTCTGCTAGTGAGGGGCTTGAGTACTTCACATCTGAGACTTTTGCTAGCTTCTGAAATTTCTCCTCAGCTTTGGAAAACCCTGTCTCACCCACCTTCCCCCTGCCCCATGCCAGGCAGCAAGGGTAAGCTGCCCTCTGACACACAAATACCACCAGCTGCTTCATACACAGGAGGCACTGAGAACACACAGGCCAGGGAGAAGCTCCGAAAATAAACTCCGGGGCACCCCCCTCACCAGCTGCACGGCTTTCCGGAGCCTTGTGAGTCTCAAGTTTGTAGTGGCAGTAGCGACAGGACAGGGCATGGAGGGAGAGAGGGAAGAGGACAATTTGCAGCTTCAGCTTTGGGTCCTCGGGCTATGGGGAAGCAAAGAGCAAACCTTTAGCCTTCGTGCCCCAAGGAAAACGCTTGGAAAACCCCTTTTTTCTTGGAAACAGTAACTTCTCCTCGCCTGATCTTTCCCATAGTATCAGCGCCCCTCCAGGGGGGAGGGGATGGGCAACAACCTGCCAGGGGTAGCACCCACCCTGCAAGTCCTTCCTCCGGCACAAGACAGAAATGTCCCCAGGCCGCAGTGGATAACCTGGCCTTCACACCGATTGGCGCCCGGCCCAGGCCAAAGCCCGTCCACCAGGACTCGTGGATACCGATGCTGTCACTGCAGAAGGCCGCATGGCAGGTGCCTGTGACAGGGGCAGGTGCCCTGGGAGGACGTGTACAGCAACTGTAAATAACCCTCTTCTCCACCCAGGAACCCAGACTGGACTCCGGTCTCTCCTCATGGAGACAGAGGCTTCCTGAAGCCACCAAACCTCCTTAGCAGGTTGGCAGCAAGCGGCATAGGGGCCTTCCATGCTGACTGTCTTTGTTCAGAGGACTCCAGGGGACTGTTCTGCCTAAGACTCCCAGCAAGACTTTTATTTATTTAATTTATTTATCTATTTGTTTATTTATTTATTTATGTGATGATAGTTTTCTTTCAGCGTTAGCAGTATTTATTTATTTATTCACTTATGTATACAGGAAGGAATTTGTGTGTGTGTGTGTGTGTGTGTGTTTGGGGAGGGGAGAACTTTGTATTTATTTATTTATTCACTTATGTATACAGGAAGGAATTTGTGTGTGTGTGTGTGTGTGTGTGTTTGGGGAGGTGGGAGAACTTGTAAATTATTTTTATGCATCTTTTTTTCCTTGTGTCTCTATGGATGTGATTTGAGAGGCCAAATGTGAATGGGGATGTTGTTTTCTCTGAAGTTTCTAAGTCTGGAACATTCTGGAGCTGGCCCAGAAGCGCATGCGTCCAGAGGTTTATTAGCACAGTGTTGAGGGGTGCAGGCCTTGCCCACCAGCTACTGCACCGAGGTATCAGGAAGAAGAGAGCAGCCAAAGAGCTCAGGAGCTGAGGCAATGAATTGAACCAACAGGGTTACACCTTAGGTCGGGGGCTTGAGTCTAAAATTAGCATTTAAGATAAAGCTGTACAAAATTACAGTCCCTTGTGAGTCCTTTTGGGAGGCACCTGGGATGAAGTCAGGAAACAAAATAAAATAGAGGGAACATGTAGTTGTCTCCCCAAGAAAGTCCTTTCTGAGCCCATCCCTGGGAACGAGGATCCACAAAACGATCGATCCGTGCTCTCTGACAACTGGCAGTGTCTTCCGGCTGCTGGCTGGACAGGGTTCTTGCCCTTTCCAAAGTCACCATCCACAGCCTTGCGATTGTCAGCTTGTCTGGTCCAGCTTTCAATGTGATGAAACTTGCAACGTTCCTGGTTGTTTTCCCGGCAGCATGGCTACCCTGCCTTAACTCAAGCCAGGGAGCGCCCATATCCTCAGGAAAGTTTGCAACAAGTTGCCTCCCAGGGAGACATTCTCTCCCCACCCCCGATGTGTCTCTCTGATTTCTGTGAAACTTTTTATTCCACCCAGAAATAGAATTTTTGTTGAGGCACTAGTAACTTCAGTTAGCTGAAGTCAGCATTCCTTAGTATTGCTCTTCTGATGCCCACTTCACTCTCACTACCCTCTGCTCCCAGCGAATAAGACAGATCGCTAGAAGGACTCGGCTCAGAAACTAGCATCTAAGATGGGAGGGGATGCAGGTTGAGATCAAGCAACATTGCCACCCAAGCCCTTTGTCCTTCCTGCCATGGGTGTGCAGTAAATGAGTGAAACTGGGTGAATTGATCCTTTTCCCTGGGCCAGAGTTCCCGCCTCTTTGAAGTAGGGAAGTTTTTGAGAAATAATCCCAAATATTGACCTGAGGCCTGGAAGACCCACCAAAGACAATGAGCTTCACGGAGACTCAGAGGACAAAAGAAAAGAGCTTCAGAGATTTTTTTAGGTTTTCAATCATGAGAAGAAAAGCGAAGAGCAAGATGTGAGTCTCCTTCAGTTAATTAGAAAAAGCTAACTCAATGGCCCCAGCATAGAACCATTCCAGTTCAACCAAGTTTGACCACATTCCTGTCTATTTGTTTCCTTCTTTGCGTATTTCGGAAGCAGAATAAAGTGAAGATGTTGGGAAGACAGGGTCCTGGTTTCAGGGTGCCTCCATTTCTTCTTTTGCTCAGATCATGTGCTCTTTCCCAAAATGTTTTGCTTGAAGAGGTCAAAATTTAGGATACTGCCAGAGTCTTCAGAAAGCATTTTTCCTCCTCCTCAAGCCCAACTTCCATCTTTTCTTCTGCAGAATTCCTTAAAACATGCCCCCTCCCCAACTGGCTAACTTAATTCAGCTGAAAAAACTTAACGCAGATATAAAGTCCTTGAGCATTTTTTTTTTTATTGAAATTTCTCCTTTCTACACCAAATGAACCATTGATCTACGTGGTATTCTTCTCTATCTGTGGCATGTTTTCATTTGTTTGTATGTTTGGTTTAATTCTTTAATCTTTTTTTTTTTTTTTTTTGGTAGTTGTTGCTTTGCATTGTAAATACCATGATGGGGGAACCCTCAACAAAACATGACTTATTTAATAATTTATTTCCTATTTATTGAGTGGTATTGGAAAAGGAAAGGGACCATCTCGTCCCCTGAATTGCTACTGGAAATCAGTCCATCTCTCAGCTCGGACGCTGCTGTCAGCAGCAGGGCTTTATCACCCAGGTATTGAGTGCTAGAATCACCGAACAAATTGGAATTGGCAGAAACGGAGGCTTCCGTCATACAAATTAAGCTCAAATGGAACTAAAACACTGGTTATCTCCCAGAAAACCTCATTTAGATGGAAATTAATTGAAGAATCCAATGCCTGTGCACAAACCAACTTCTATTAAAAAGTCACAACTCCTTGAAAAAAAAAAGAGGAAGAAAATTGTAACTCTGCTTCTCCAGCCAAGAGAAGCTATGCCTCACCTTATAATGAGCTGAACCAGAGACTGGAATGGCGTTCTTTTGAGACTTTCTTGCCTTTGTGTCTGTGGGAGTGAAATGGAGTGGGTCTCAGGCCTCAGTCTTAGCATCTGTAAAATGGGGCTTAGCCTAAATGTTGTTGGCAGAGTGGGGCAGGGGACTTCAGCTCTGATGCTGTAGACTCCATGCTGTTGGATAGTGCCTCTCTGTCTTCTGCTGTGGGTGTCTGCTAATGAAAGGAACAAAAAGGTAGGACATGGACTTTGTTTGTTGAGAGACTTTGTAACAGCTGGATCTTGCAGTCAGATCTGGAGGACCTCAAGGTACCTTGCACTTTGATAACTCTTTGTAGCCCAGATTAAAAATCTTCTGTATTTAGCTTGAATATCTGTCCAAGCTCACTGATCCCGAGTCATCAAGGGAAAGACCAAGGTGGCTTTGTCCAGCCCTGGATTTAACTACTACTGTTTATTGTCAGGTGATATTTTGTCCAATCATTCCAGTGAGCCAGTGATACAGGTACTATGACCACATTTCAGATGGAAAAACTGAGGCCCAGAAGGGAATCGTTATGCTCAAATTCCGTTAAACTCGGATCTGCCTGACTCCATGCCCCAGATTCCCTTGGTAGCTCTTTCTTCGGGGGCCCATGCTGTGAAGACATTTTCTGGACTGTTATCTCTTCTCCCCGCAACTCTTAGCTGTTCCTTCATGTGGTAATTGGCCTGGAGCTAACAGAATCCATCACATTGGCTCAGGCCTTAGTGTACCTCAAGGCCATTTCTCTGTATAGAGAAATGGTACTACCATTTGGAAATTCCCAAGCCAGAGGACCCATCACCAGCCCAGCTCAGCCTGACAAGCCAGTCTCTGCCTGGAGCATCCACATAAGAAAGAAAGAAAGAAAGAAACTCCTGTGTCCTCCAGCATCCTAGGACCTTGTCCTCTGCCCAGCGACACAGTGGCTGTGGCTTGCTTGATTTCTGGTTTCCACAGCTAAGCATAACCTTCCCGAGGTTTCTGGGTTTTCAGCCTGTATGAAACAAGTCTCTGTTCCAATTAAAGGTCCCATGGTATGGTGTTCTCATAACTGGCCCAGCGTCTTCTGTCTACATGGGTTGCCCAGAGGAGGGAGGAAGGGAGACGGGGAGCTAGGAAGCTCTTACATAGCACCTGCTACACGTCTTATATGCACGGTGCTCAGGTCAGTCCTCTAATCTTCCAAATATACCAGAGTATTTGAATCTCATGTACACATTAGCAGCATCTATGGAGTGCCTTAGGAGACCTTTCCAGAAGTATTTTGTATGAATTATCTTAGATATAACTGTATTGCAATCATATGAGGTAGATGTTGGGGACTTACTACCAAGAGGAATCTGAGGCCTGGAAAAGTAAACTCCCACACTCAAGAGCCAGTCTTGGAATCAATGACAGGATCCAGACAAGATGACTCCAAACTCTAGGCTGCCAACTGCTGTGTTTAGCAGCACTTCACTTTGTGCAATGAGTAGCCAGCCTTCTTCAGTAGAATTATTTCCTCCAGAGGCCTTGATCATTGGGAGCAAATTCAGTGTCAGGCACAGACACTGTTTAGTCCAAAGACTTCGGTTCGAGTCTGGGCTCCGCCTCTACTAGCTGTGTGGCACTGAACAAGGGCTACTCCCTGTGGATGTGTGCTCATCTGTACAATGGGGTAGCAACAGCTACCTCCCTCAGCTGTTTTGGAAGCTAAATGAGACGGTAGATTTTTAAAAAGTGGTACTCAGAAAGCTCTTAATAAATGCTTGCAAACAAAATTACTATTTTTCTAAACTGAACCTGAGCCGTGGCAGTGAAGTTCATGTTCATGCAGAAAGCCCAAAACAGCCATGTTGGAAAAATGGGGGCCTCCAGAAATGTCAGTGTAGAACTAGAACATATCTTTCCCTCAAGATCAAGGGCTGAAAACAGCCACGAGGCAGGGCGGTGAGGGGAGTAGAAAAACAGAGCCCAATATCTACTGGCCAAGTAAAAAAATCTCAGCTCAGTGTTGCAAGATCTCCAATTTTTCAGCACAATCTGATTTTCAGATAAAATTTCTTGATTTAAAAAAAAAAATGTTCATAACTCCTTGCTTTTCCAAGCACTGCATGGGTCAAAATAATGTGTGTGTGTGTGTGTGTGTGTGTGTGTGTACAAGAATGATATGCCATCCAAGGGATCACTCAGGAGGAAATGTCTCACCCTCACCTCCATCCCCAGGGATGCCAGGAGGTCCTTCTGCTACCCACCACACAGCCTTCTCCACACCTGAGTTGGTTATCAACTTAGGGAGGGATATCAAACAAAACAGGCCCACACTGAAACGTGTCTTGGGGTTCAATGGGATGGGACAATCTCCTTTGGATAAATCCATGGCTATTCTCTGCCCCCACCCCAACTCTCACACAATGATTTCTTTCTGTTGAAACAGCCTTGAGTAAAGCAGGAACCAAAATCTTACTCTGCGGCTCCATCAATAAATAACAGTAATTGATATTTATTATTAATAATTGATTTTTTAATGGCTCGATTATTATGTGCCATTTGCACCCAAAAACTTATTTCATTTACATAGGACAAAGTTGAGGTTCTAGACACAAGGCCACACTGCTAGTGGTATTTGGATCTGGGTCTGTGGCTGCCCGGACCATTTCTGGTCCTCAAGGCT